TCTTCCAAGGTCTCACTTTCGTAGCTTGTATCACTTTGAATAAGCCTTTTATAAGACATGGCTCCTATGTTTCATCAAGGAGTATGGGATGTGAAACAACATGAAGGTATTTAAGAAGCCAACTCAAAGAGTTCCTCCTACACAAGCATTCAGGTCTTGAGCAGTCCAGGCAAACAACGCACGTTACAACAAAGCTTAAACTTGTTCTTCATAATAATTTTAAAAACAATACTAGCTGCCTATTTAATTTTAAAAACAGCAAAAAATATCAACCTTCAAGACTCCTTATAAGAAATGGAAAAGGAGGTGAAGTCTCCCCAGTGCGATAGATCTGCTTGCTTTGATCTGCTTAGCTCTTGGAAGTCTAGGGGCTCCGGGCTGTTGGCCCCATGCTGCCTGGGGTCCCTAGGGACAAGTCTGTCCGCCATTAGGGAATTTTTCCCCGAGAACCCCCTGTTACATTTTGTGAACCACTGTTATAGACTAACAGATGTATTGGAGCATAAGCTTTCATGGGTGAATACCCACTTCGTCTGTTAGTCTATAAGGTGCCACAGGACTCTGTCGCTTTTTATAAAATGTCTGGGATTGTTTTCAGTTATCTCAGACATAAAATTCTTGTTGATTTTACATTTCCCAATGAAACTCCCATCCAGAACTTCAGGTTGAGATTCTCAGGATCAAGTCTGAAATATTCAGTCTCAGGAGAGAACATATACAGAATTACATTTGCTATAGTAAGCTCTAAATGACAGACAAGGAGTGCATTTCCTGTAAATTAGTGGGAGGCTGGAAGTGTTGAGGGCCCTTAATGAGGACCATTACTTGCTGAGACATGCCTGATCCAGAATCAGGATAATTTCTTATTTCACATAGCTTATAACAGCAATAAAGTAATTAATATTTATGCTGTTTCATTTACCATTTTGTTATTTTCTTAGCTATTAGAGACCAATACAGAAACCATTGGGAAACCATGCCTCACTGAGAATGCTTTGTTAGGGGGTATAATGTGTGGCTAGGAAATGTATTAAGTTGTGCAGCCATTTAATGTATTTATGGACCCCATTCTCCCATATGGTCTTTCTGCTAGCAGCAAAGAGTAGCCAGAAAGCCATCTTCATCAGCAACCTGAGGGTTCCCCTAGGGGAAGGGAAATTTTGGGATCACCCTACTGGCAACTCCCAGTTCACAGGATGTGTCCAGAGCACTGCTGCACTCCTGTAATCCCTGGCTGCCACAATATGCTTTTGGGGCTGTAAACAGCTGAACATAATTTAGAACTCCCCTAAAGCTGCAGTGAGTTGTGTCCTGGGCCAAACTGGTTCCTGGCTCAAGGAACCTCACAGGCAACATGAAGCCTCTGGTTTTGTTTGTTTGGCTGGTCCTTCAGCTTGAACAATTTGGTCAGATGAGAAAATCTGGGCTTATAGAAGTGGATACAATCAGTGACCCTCAGAAACTTGCTACACAAAACTGTCACACATTAGTTGTTTACCACGTTTATTCTTGTCTCTAGGAATTTCCATGTCTGGAATGAAAGCTGGTTTACCCGAAGTGACCTGGGGCCCTCCTACAATGGATGGCAAATTCTGGATGCAACTCCCCAGGAGCAAAGTGCTGGTACAGGGATTTTAATTCAGGAAAATGTTAAAGCAGGGGACCCCTGTATAATTCAGGGGTCCTTGACACACAGATTATGTCTAATGTGCATTGCTTACATTCTATTACAGTGTTTTGACTAGTCTAGCCCTAATTGATTTTCTTTTCCTTGATACTCTAGGAATATTTCAGTGTGGTCCTGCTTCACTTATAGCCATCAAAGAAGGCGATGTAGACCTGGACTATGACTCTCCATTCGTATTTGCTGAGGTGAATGCAGACCGTATCACCTGGACTTACGACATTAGGACTAGAGAGGCAAAGCCGATCTCTTCTGAGACCAAGTCAATTGGCCAGTTCACCAGCACCAAGGCAGTAGGCAGTTATGCCCGTGTAGATGTCACTAATAATTACAAATATGCAGAAGGTAAAGAGAAAATCCTCTGTTTCTTGATAGTAGCACAAAAGCTTAGTTCTTAAAATGGTAGAAACATTGTAATAGGAGCCAGTTCTTTAGCAAGTACTACAACAGCTAGGGCAAAAGTAACACTTTTGACTCCTACTGCGCTAAGAAAAGGAGGAAGACAGAAGGTATAGTATTGTGCCATACCATTTCTGATATGTCAGTTTTGACTCATGAGACCTGGGTAACGTTGCTCTTAATTACATTGTGCAAAACATGTCCTGTCCATGATAACACAGGCTGCTCAAATTGCATTTGCTATTGAACAACAGTTATTAGATAGTTTACAGGTACTGTATAGAAACCTAAGATAGACAGATAGCAAACTCCACAAGAAGGGCAACCCTTTCAAAAGGACCTCAACCGACTTCTAAATTTGTGCCTTCAGTTTTGCCAGTACAAAATACAGAACACAAACATCTGTTAGCTAAGTTTGCATGTGCAAACAAGAGTAAGACACAAAGAGTGCTATTCAAAATGTCTAAACGGGGGAAGGGCTGATAATTCAAACCCTCATTAGAGTAGGGCCTGTTCATGTAAACTGCAGGCCTGTCAATCCCATCAGTTTAGAGGGCTGCTTCGTGTTACATAATAAAGTGAAGCAAGTTGAAATTTATATTTACCACTTATACAGCCCTAGGAAAAGTTGGATGAGGGAAGGTTTGGGAACTAAGCTTTAGTTCCTCTCTGGAATTAACAGATTTAATGCTCTCAAGTTTAAGGACAGCAACTCTGAAATGAATGGATGCTTGTCACTCATCAAACAGGTTAATAGTGGCTGCAGTAAACAGTTGCTCTGTCTCCCCTGGAGGCAGATCTGCCAGGGCCCTACATCCTGCTGGGTAAGCATCAGGCTTGTCAGTTAAAAGTGGAGAGACAAGATGGTTGTCTCTCTAAATATCCTAGGACCAATGCTGCTACAACTACCCTGCATACAACATTTAAAAATGGACATATTTTACTGTTTTTTTTTATTATTTTCATGGCTCACTCTCTCTCTCTCATAGGCTCTCAGAAAGAAAGAGAAGTGTATGAAAAGGCTCGTACAAAGCTGAGGCGAGAACTTGGTTTCAGTTCCACAACAGAGAAGCGACCAGAAATTGATCAAAAGCCTGACATTTCAGGGAAGTTCAAGGTGGATGGCTCCTTAGAGATTGGCAAAGATGTCAGCCTAATCTTGGTTCTCAGAAATTTGACCTCTGATGCTAAGACTGTAAAGGCAAATATGACTGCTTGGACCGTCGTGTACACTGGGAAGCCAATTCATGAGGTCTGGAAAGACTCCCTTTCACATACTCTTGGTCCTGAAGAAGGTAATTTTTCATATAATTGTGTAACCAAAGAAACAAGTTTGTCATAACAGTATGAGAGAATTAGATGTAAAGGTGGCAAAACTGAGGGAATGAAGAAATCTACTAAGAAAGGTGCAATGGGAGAGGGTCTTAAATTCCAGCATGGAAGGAGGCTGAGGATTCCTAAGAGACACCATCATTAATCCAAAGCAGGTTAAAGTTCCTCTAAAAGAGAAAAATCTAAGAAATAAAACATTTCCCATATGGTTCCCAAACACTGCTCAGATACAGGGGGGCGGGGAAAACATACCAGAAATGAAGAGGTGGTGGCAAGTAAACCAGAATACTCTGTTAACAGAAGCTAGCATGGAAAAGATAAGGACAACGAAAAAGCAAGATGAGTTAATGGCAGCCAAAGGGCTTCTGAAAAGTTACATGGATTTTTATAATGGGAAGAAGCAGCACAGTAAAGGGAAGAAAGCTGGTTCATGGGGGGGAATGAAATTATTGATGATTCAAAAGTGGCTGAAATGCCTTGTTTATACTATATTTTGAACAAAAAGAAGCCTGAATTATTAGTACAGAAGGAAAATGCTGTAAAATAACTTTGGATAAAGAGCAGATAGAGGAAAGCTTGAGAAAATGCAAGTACACACAGACACAAGCAGGTCCAAGTGATGTGCATCTTAGGGAATTAGTCCTGGATAGGGCCTGAGAGGACTTTCCCATGACAATTAAATAGACACTAACTAGTTAATGAAATGCAAAGTGGCAAGTTATCTGCTTCATCACCTTCCAGAAAGAACAATGGGGAGGAAAAAAGGGGCAGAAAATGACGCAGAAGGAATTGAAGAAGAGAAACCAACCCCCCAGACAGGCAATGCAGCAAGAAGTGAGAGAAAAGCAGGGAAAGCTCATGTCCTGTCTAGCACCAGATAGTGGGTGATAGGAAAATACTCATTTTAGGTGAATGAAATTTGTTAGACTTTTACAAGTGCATCTCATCCTATTTATTTTTTAAATTTTGTGTTATTTTTTCCTTTCAGAGAAACAGTTTCCCATTAAGATAACGTATGCTGAGTACCAGCAAAATTTAACAAGCGACAACATGATTCAAGTAACAGCTTTGTGTCAAGTTGAAAGTGGGATTGATATGGTGGTGGGAAGAAACATCACTCTGGATAACCCTGACCTTGTCATGCAGGTAAAGATCTGTCCCTTTGCCACATGGAGAGAAAGAGTGCTTTAGCTGCCTCACACAGTTAATCTGAGCCCAGCTTTAGCATTGGGGAAAGGGGAAGGTGAAAGGTGGTTTAGATTGTATCTTTTGCTTCCTACATCGACTGTCTTTACCATTGAGAGAGATGCTCTGTTCTCATCCTGCCATGGTGGGGTGTCTTAAGAGTGCCCAACATTTAATGAATCATAACATCATTTTCTGCTTCAGAATGTGATCATGCAAGTGTTTGGTCTGTGCAGGTGCTTAGTGATGCAAAGGTGAATGAACCAGTGAATGTGGAAGTGGTATTTACCAATCCTCTCGATCAAGAGGTGAAAGACTGCGTGCTGCAGGCAGAAGGCAGTGACCTGCTGAAAGGAAAGCTCAAGATAGAGTAAGTACAAGAAGCATCAACTTCTTAACACAAAAGATACGCACAACAGGACTTAGGGTTGGGTGTTTTTGAAGCAAATGTTGGCATGACACCTTTTTCCTTCTGGCTGTGACCACGGAGGTCTGTCTGTGGAAATGAGACTCAAGGAAAAAAAGACCTGATTTTTAATGAGGCCTGAACCTGACCTTTCTTTTGGCACTGCAGTTTGTAGGTACCAATAACTGTGGGCACAAGTTGCTGCTATTTATTCACCCACTTACCTGATTGCACTCACACGTTGGGTAAAAGTCTAAATGATATAAGTGGGGTAAACATTCAGTGGAGTTGAGGCCCTGGCAGCCAGTCTGCAGGTGCAATCTATCAAACTTGAATATTCTGGCAGTGCCAACCAGGTCACACCCTACTATACAAGGCATGATACAGAGTAAGTGATGGTTTCTACACAAAAAAGCTGTACCTGTTAACCTTGGGTCCTTCTTAAAACCTTTTTAAATGAACTGTGTGTGTGTGCAAATCTGAGTATTTGTCTCTCTCTCTGATTTTCACCAATATCAGGTAGGTAGAGGTGCAAGTATGCAGATTTGTGCCTGCATTTCAAAATGTGAACATTTCAATAAGTTCAAATTTTTCAGACCGAAATTGTACCCTCAAAAGAAGGCCATCCTTCTGAAAATGTACCCCCATCTCTCTCCACGTACAACTACTGCTGGTGCAAAATTCCTCCTGCAACTAGTATATGGGAAAACTACTGATACAAAGAGGCTGGGTTTTAATAATCCAGACCCAAATCATAATGTTTAGAAAGCCAGCCATGCTAAGAGTTTGAAAGCTATAAAATTTGTGTATTTAGAGATAAAATATATTAATTATGGAGGGACAGAATGGAAGGAGTGGTGAATATTGTGATAAATACTTTTTTAAAACAAGAGACTATTTCTCCTAAATAGTAACCAATGGCATATATGATTTTTCAACCTTGGCTTTGAAATTCAAGAAATGTCATTGTTTTGGGAAATGTAGAAATACAGTAGGGGTTAGATCAATAAATTGAAACCCTTACTTATTAGGGGGCACTAGTGTATTGCTACTGATAGATGAGGAATGGGACAGCTATAAGGAACTGGAATACAATAGATGCTATCCAGTTGATTTTTCTTGTATGTTTGGATCATTAATGTCTTGTAATGCTGGTATCTTACATTAGAACCAGGAAGGGTAAATTTGCAGCCAGACCTCCATCTGCCTTCACAGAACTGCACACACAAACTTCTAGATGCACTTGGCAGGTACAAATGCCTGCCAAAATTCTATTTGTCTATGCCCTTTAGTCTAACACCTGCATATTCTTAAATGGAAGTGAAAATGATAACAAAACTGTGAATCATCTATCGCATACTCACAGTAGGGATCTCCAAAGTGGCCGAAAGGAGCTAGGTACCCAAGTCAGCATTGGAGATTTAACTTCTTTAGGCCCTTTTGGAAGCCCATTGTATAGCTCCTCCTCCCTACTGACAGCAATGCATAGGGAGGATGGCTGGCAGGGAAACTCAAATATAAAATACAAGGATGTTTTCAACTGATATTTCTCCTTTTGTTTCTGTTTTTTAGAATGCCCTCACTACAGCCCAGGCAGAGTTCCAAAGTACCCCTTGAAATCATTCCCACCAAGAGTGGAACCAAGCAACTGCTCGTTAATTTCTCCTGTGACAAGTTTCCAGATGTCAAAGCCTTTGAGACCATAAATGTGGCCAAGTGATTATAAGATGTGCAGTTGTCAGTCTGTCTGTATAACCTTGAGTGAAATAGTGCAAGAAAGCTCCTGTCTTCTGTGAACAATTAGTAAATCAATCTATTTCTGCTCCAGAAACAAAATCCACACCCTGTCTGACAGGAATTATCATGTTACATAGTTTTACCAAATTCATGGCTGTGAAAAACGTGTTATGGATCGTGAAATCTGGTCCTGTGTATTTTTACCCTATACTATACAGATTTCACAGGGGAGACCAGTGTTTCTCAAACTGGGAGTCCCAACCCAAAAGAGGGTTGTGGGGGTAGTCGCAAAATTACTGTTGGGGGGGTTGCGGTATTGCCACCTTTACTTCTACGCTGCCTTCAGAGCTGGGTGGCTGGAGAGCAGTGGCTGTTGGCCAGATGCCCAGCTCTGAAGGCAGTGTATCACCAGCAGCAGCGCAGAAGTAAGGGTTGCAATACCATACCATGCCACCCTTACTTCTGTGCTGCTGCCTTCAGAGTTGGGTCAGGAACCCTACAGTTACAACACCATGAAATTTCAGATTTAAATATCCTAAATCATGAAATTTAAGATTTTTAAAATCCTATGACCGTGAAATTGGTAGGGCCCTAGTTATACATTTCAATATGCAATGAGAGGCAGGGATTCTTCATGTACTGATGTACATTTCCAAATTTTAAATATACTATCTGCACTTCTCTTCCAATTGTGTGTCTGGTTTTCTTATGCCTTTTTTTTAATTTGGACACTATTCCCTGTGGCCCCAGGTACTGCAACACTAAAACTTTATATTATTTTAACATTGAACAGGACTTATACTGTGCAGAAAAGACAGGATATTACAACAATTTAAGCCACCCTTATGAAAAGGTTCTATAGAATTTAATAAGGATGGAAACCAACAGGGTTCTATAGAAATGACTCAAAAATATATATAGAATAGTAAGATCCTTTTTATGGCTTTTAAACCAGCCTACAGAATTCTATCACAGGCATATAATTTTCTATTAAATTCTGTAAGTTTTTCTAAAAGATATTCACTATTGAAGAGCTACAGTCCTACATTGTTTTACCTATCCCGTTTTGGATCCTCAGCTTCTCTAGCATTATTGTCCCTTCCCCCAAAACTTTTTCACTATTGAGATAGTTGGTGGGACCTATGCTGTGCCGGGTGCTTTCCAAACAGAGGAGGTCACAGTCCTTACGCTAAAGAGTAAACAATTAAAAAAGATAAAGACAGATGAAGTGTGGCAGAGAGGGATATGACCTCTAGGCAGACAGTATATCTACACTGCAAATACCGGTGTGATTGTAGCTTGGGTAGACATACCTGCACTAGCTTTCATCTACCTAGCATGGCTAAAAGTAGCACTGAAGATGCAGTGGCATAGACCCCAGCATAGGCTATCAACACGAGTACATAAACCAGTGTAACTTTAGCGCCCTCGTAGCCGAGATGGAGTCTGCTCTGCAGGCAGCTCTGGCCAAGAGAAAGCACGTGCAGGAATAATCCCTTCCATCCCAGGGGCACCTGTTCCAAACCCCCCAGAGTGAACACACACACCCACAGGAAAAGTACAATGGATATAAGAAAGGGAAATATTTATTTACAGAGGGATGAGAGGAGAAAAACAACAAGGGGAAATATAGGGGGAAGCGGTAAAACAGGGTTGCATTCAAACCAAAACCCCACAGGCCCAGTGGTAGCACAGTCTGAAAGGGCAGGCACCGAGCAATGTGTCTACACACAGAGTTCAGGAGTCCTGAGCAAAGTTCCAGTCCAGTGGTGAGTCTTGGGTGCTCCTAGTCGTCTTCGGCACCAGTAAACTTTCCCCAACAAACCCCTCCAGTGCCCTCTTCTGCCGTTCTTTGCAAAGCCACACAAAGCGACTACCTCCCCACTTAACTAACTAGCAGCCTCCCTCCTTATTCCCAATGCAGAGTCACAAGCCCCAGTACCCACAGTCCAATGCAGCTCTAGGTAGCAGTGATACTAGGTCCAGCTCCAGCCTGTCCTGCTTGGGTGATTCCTTCCTGGCACAGTGCTCCTCCTGGCTCCTGTCCTGGGGTGTCCCCGATCAGCCGCCCTGTTCTTCCCAGGCTTCAGGCAGGTTCTCTGCTGCTTCACTTTCTGAGGGCCTGCGGGCTACAGTCCTTCTCTCTCTGGAGCTCCAAAGCCACCCTCTGGAGTTTCCCTCCTTTCTCTCACTGCTCCCCCTCCCCCCTTAGGAAAAAGATTTAAAGGGGCTATGCTCTCTAAACCCCAACGGGGTTACACCAGCAGGGCCAGCTCCAGGCACCAGCCGAGCAAGCTGGTGCTTGGGGCGGCAGCTTGTAGGAGGCGGCATTCTGCCCAATCCTAGGGCGGAACGGCCGCTTTTTTTTTTTTTTTGGTGGTGGTGTTCTGCTCCGGCTGCCCTGTAGGGGGCAGCGGCGCAGAGGACGGGAGCACCCTTCAGCAAGCCCGGCAGGGCAGCCTGCGTCCTTCCCTCCTAGCCGACCGGAGCAGTGCAGAGCCCTGGGGCCCACACCCCTTCTCTCTCCCCCCTCTGGCTCCGGCCGCGCTGCAGGTTTTTTTTTTTTTGCTTTGCCATTCTGGCCACCCTGTTTTTTTTTTTTTCTTTTTTGCTTGGGGCGGCCAAAAAGCCAGAGCCGGCCCTGTACACCAGGATTCCAGATGGGCTTGTACAGCATGGTAGTATAGCCATACCCAGAATGATCAAGGGGATGAGACACCACAGGTTGAGTTTGTTTGGTTTTTTTATGAAATTCCTCTCCCTCCACCACACAGTTCCCATGTTCCCACCCACCAATCCCCAGATTCAGCTGCAGTAATTTTATCTTTCTGCCTTCTAGTTTCCACTCAAAAACATAGTGCAACTTCCCTTGGCTGAAAAAAACCTGCTCCCCCTCAGTCTCGCATCCATCTACTGCCCCACCTTAGTATCTACATGCCACGACAATAATGCACAGATGCTGTCAAGAACTATGGGCTTGAGTTCCCTCAGCTGAGTCTGGGGCTCATCCCTCAGGCCAGTCAATGTACCCAGCTGGGCTGCAGCAGAATCACCTGATTGGCCAGCCTAGACAATTGGCTGCAAGGAACCAACAGGTCTGCATTTAAGCTCAGCAGCAATGCTCACACCTGAAGCAGTGATTGCTCCTGTGCCTGCCTTGCTTCAGACCTGCTCCTACCTCCTTCTTGTCCCACTCCAGCCCTGCTCACTTGCCTGGTTCCTGAATCTGGCGCTAACTCTTTGTTCCTGGCTCTCCTGAGGCTAGACCACAGGGGTGTCATTGGGGGTGTGCCTTCCCTGCCCAAGTTTCATACAGGAGGTGTGCTCCCAGGCAGAGCTCTTAAATACAGCACAGCCTTAGGCTTTGTCTACGCTGGAACTTTGTTGGCAAAACTTTTGTTGTTCAGGGGTGGTTTTTTTAAATACCCCCCCCAAAAACAACAAAAGTTTTACTGATGAAAAGCACCAGTGTGAGCTGCTGCCACTCATGGGGGGGGGGGAGTTTTGTGTTAGCAGGAGAGCTCTATCCTGTGGACAAACAACAGCTACTTTAATGACATGGCCGTAGTAACACAGCTGTGTCCTAGAAGGTGCATAGTGTAAACAAAGCCTAATTAGTGTGGAATGTGAGTTCTGCAGAGAAGAGGTGCCCCTGAGGCAGAGAGTCAGTATTTTGTACACATGGGGCACTGAGGCATAGAGAGACTAAGGGCCAGATTTTCAATGGTATTTAAAGCACCTAGTGGGATTTTCAAAAGCACCTAGAAGGTTAGATGCTTTGTAAATCCCACTAGATGCCTAGCTGCATCTTTGGGTGCCTAAAAACATTTGAAACTCTGTCCCTAAGGCACTAGCCTGAGGTTACACAGGCAGTCTATGGGGGCTCCTAGGGTTACCATACGTCTGGATTTCCCCGGACATGTCCGGCTTTTTGGTACTCAAATCCCCGTCCGGGGGGAATTACCAAAAAGCCGGACATGTCCGGGGAAATAGGGAGGCAGCATAAGCCAGGGTCCGCCCGGCCCCAGCACGACCTGCCGGGTCCGAAGCGCAGCCCAGCTACATTGTAGCGAGCTCGGGCAGGGGTAGGAGGGGCGCAGCTGCAGAAGGCGGCAAAGGGGCCGCTGCTGCCCCCGGAGGCCGGGCGGACCGCGCGCCCCAGCCAAGCCCGCAGGACCACGGGGAGGCCGGGCCCAGCCAACGGCTCGGGCTTCCCTCACGGGCAGGGACTCCCCGGCCACTGGGGGACCCTTCCTGCGGCCCCACCACCCCGCGCGGCAGGAAGGAGGCTGCGGGGCAGGGAGTGCGGCGTGTGCCGGGGCTGCAGGGACCCGCGCTGCCCTGGTCGCCGCTGAGCATCCGAAGCCCCCGCCAGGCAGAGGCTGCTGGGGGAGCGGGGGAGCAGGGCAGGCGGGGGGGGGGTGCAGAGGCTGCAGGGCGAGGAGGAGCAGGGCAGGCAGGGGCATAGAGGCTGCAGGAGCAGGGGGGCGCAGGGGCAGGGCAGACGGGGGCACAGAGGCTGCGGGGCGGCGGGTGCAGGGGCTGCAGGGTTAGTGGGGAGCAGGGGGCACAGAGGCTGCAGGGGCGGGGGGGTGCAGAGGCTGCAGGGCGAGGAGGAGCAGGGCAGGCAGGGGCATAGAGGCTGCAGGGGCAGGGGGGGCGCAGGGGCAGGGCAGGTGGGGGGCGGGGGGGTGCAGGGGATGCAGGGCCAGTGGGGAGCAGGGGGCACAGAGGCTGCAGGAGCGGGGTGGGGTGCAGGGGCTGCAGGGTGAGTGGGGAGCAGGGAAGCACTTAGCAACCCTCAACCAAGATCAGAGCCGGAGGGAGGAGGGGGAATGTGGGGTGCTCAGAGGAGGGGGCAGAGTTGGGGCAGGGACTTTGGGGAAAGGGTTGGAATGGGGGTGGGGAAGGGTTGGGGCAGGGAAGGGGCGGAGTTGGGGTGGGGCCGGGGGCAGGACCGGGGTCCCGTGGAGTGTCCTCTTTTTAAAATGTTTGAATATGGTAACCCTAGGGGCTCCTATCCACTGGACCAGCCTCTCTGCTGCATGCTGGGGGGAAAAGGAGGACCCTGATAGATGGGAGCAAAACCAAGAAGACCAGTTCTCTGAAATGCCAGCAAACAATCCCAGGCAGCTGGGAAGGATGTCAAGGTTAACAGTATAAAAAGCAGTACAGAGGTCAGGAAGCATGAAGAAAGAAAGAGAGACAGATGAGAGGAGATCACTTAACTCCCAAGTGTGGCAGGTTCTGCCCCTGCTGGGCTGTAGAGCAATGGCCGATGTGCAATTTTACATTTTAACCAAAAAACATTTTCTTCAGTCATTTTTTGTTGTGAG